TGATAAAATCAATAAAAAAGAAACGCTTTTTTCCTCTTTTTTTTTGATTAGAATATAAACCTATCTTAGGTTAATAACTTAAAATATTATGCCATCTAGGGTCGTTTTTCCTGTTCTGATGCATCCGAAAGAAAAAGTGGTACCTTTATCATAATCTAAACTTAGCAACAGATTTCACTGCAAGAGAAATAAAAGCGTATAAGTATAGTTAATGGTTTGGAGATTTCCAATCGCCTTAATAGGCCACTGACTGGATATGTTGACTAGCGGAAATTCCTTGTTTCCTTACTTCAAAGATAATGTTTTTCTAATTCGATAATGACGCTGAATTCGCTGTAAAACATTACGTGGCATTGGTAAGTAGGTACTAGGTACATATGGGTAGGATATCATGCTGCGATGCTCAATTGCGCCAACTCAATTTACTTCGTCTGGAGTTGACTCACAATAAATTCAAAATGTGTTGACGCATAGTGAAGGACTGGGGAAACTTAAAAAGGAGGAGTAGGGGGCAAGTTTCCTTCTGCCGCGCTTCACTTTAAGGCCCATATCTTCAAAACTATGGGTATTAGGGCAAGTGTGGTGTCATTTTCGTATAATTAAAGGATGGCGAATTCATTTCTAGAACAAACTATTTGCCTTTTCATACAAAAAAATAGAAATATGGAGTAAAATTCACAAAAACCAAAAAGTATTTTTTTAAATAAACGTCTTTTACTTTTAAACTACTGAAGATAATCTAATAAAAAAAATATGTCCTGAAAGCTACATTTATCAGGATTATATATACCATTGTATGGTACTTTTTTTGAAAAAAGTAGGTGAAAAAAAATTTTTCTTTTCATTAGATTATCTCCAGTGATTTAAAAGTATACGACGTTTATTTAAAAAATACTTTTTGGTTTTTGTGAGTTTGTTCTAGAAATGAATTCGCCATCCTTTAATTATCCGAAAATGACACCACACTTGCCCTAATACCCATAGTTTTGAAGATATGGGCCTTAAAGTGAAGCGCGGCAGAAGGAAACTTGCCCCCCCTCCCCCTGCTACCACAGGGGGGGCTCCCGATGTCTACCGACGGAAATCTACTCAGGAGCACCCAAAGAACAACTGGTGCAAAAATGAGCCTTCTATACCAAAGTGGAGGGGTTCTTGCACTAAATTCCCTACTAAGTCCCTACATGCAGCAATAAAGAATTGCTGGCCCAGTTATTGTCCCTAAGCAGTGGTAGGGTTAATAATACTGGGACGTGTAAAGTGCTTTTAAAAGCCTAATTGCAAAAACATTATAATAAATGAGTTTTATGGTACTTCGTATAGGGATCCTGGCCATAGTTCTTTCTTTACTAGGTTGACCTAAGAAATGTTGCTGAGTTACTATGTTTACTAGCAAGTCACATGTTCACACATGACTTGCAAGGCGGTTACACAACATGGTTACCGCGTGCACTATGTCTGCCATAAGTGGCCTTAATCCCATTGAAAACTGTCGCTTGGGCGGTTAGCTTCATCTGATCTTGTTAATGCCTCGCTGACATTTAATACCAACTTGTTTATAAATAGCTTAAAATAGCTTATGAGTAATAATGCAATCTAATCCTGAATTCATGGTTGTAATAAATTTTACAAACGCTACTTTTTCGTGGGTTTATAGCATAAACTAGTCATACATTTATGGGGCTAGAGTAAAAACGTAAATTAATTAGGTACTACCAAGTACTTATTATTATTCTGTGGTACTACTGAAATTCCATCGAAGATTCTAAACCTACGAGCGAATAATATTGAATTAAATTTCAGGTTCACGATAACATTTCTATTGTAATATATTTGATTATTTATTATCAAATCAATATGCTGATAATATTCCAGTACAAGTAACACTATGAATAATTTAATGCAGGAAACTTCCTGTAACGTTTTTAGAACAGATGTAGTACAAGCATTAGGAGAACATTGTTTATAACTACAGCTAACTGTAGAGGATTTTTGATACAAGACATAATAAAAACTTTACTACGGAGTAAAGTATAGAATATTAAGAAATTAATTTACCAACAAACTAATTACTAGTTTGGAAACCTTTGTTTAATTATTCTTTCTGTGTCTCAACTGCAATGCACAATTTATACTTATATTTTAAAATATTATGTCTTTTGTAAACGTGTAAAGTTTTGTGCGATAAAAAATATTTATTTATTTATATCTATTATTTTTATTGCTCTTCGTTGAAACACGAGGTAGATAAATAAGGCCGCCGAAGGAAATGCGCTATCGCAAGTGTGTCAGTTTGAATAATTCATAGAGTCAGGAAGGAAGCTGACATAACCAGCTAAATGAGTATACAATGACGTGAACTGAACACTTCATACGTGCTATTTGAGTGTTCCTAGGGTTTCTAAGAAGTTTCTATGTCAGGAATTTATCTTTCTCTAGATGAGTAAGATTCTGACTCAGATTAGAGACTTGAGTTTCTTGCGTTGCTTCTTCTGAGCCCTAGCTCAATTTTTGTCCCGAAGCAGTGGTAGAGTTAAAGTCATAGTGGGACATGTAAAAGAGCTTTTTTTAAGCCTAGGTACTTGCAAAATAAATTATTTTAATTTGACTTACCTAGTTTAGAAGACTACTATCTTCAGTCTATTCTTTAATATAATTATGATTTTATGCTCTTATTAATTTAAGGGTAGTATTTAAACGAGTGACTGTAAATTTATGTTGTAAGTGTCAAAAATAATTAATGTGGGCTAAAGAATTACTAAGTGAGCGACTGAGTGCGAGTGACGAAAAATCAAAAGAATAGCAACTTACAAAAAAAAATTGAGTTCCTTAAAATACAAAATGAGAAGCTTCATAATATTTGAGCGACCTAATATTTGATTGAGTGTCAACGTTAGGTCCTGCATTTTTTTCAATATTTGGCAAATGCTTTTTTTATACTGAGTGGTATTTTGAACTTTAATGAAGTGTTTCGAATGCAAAAACTACTTTGAAAAATACTATTATGAGCAGCGCATTATGAGCCCTCATTTAAATAAAAAATGATCTTATGAAATAAATATTTGACGGAACACTATTCTAGTAGCGAAAAAAATAAATCATTAAAATGTAAGGGTAGGTAATCAAATGAAACAATGTATTACGAAAAATGAAATAAATTTGTATTTTCTTAAATCGAATCAACAAAAAAAAAAGTCGCTTCTGTCGACCCAAAAAAAAGTAATCTTATTAATAAGGTTTATTGGTACCTATGAGGATTGAGGAGCTCTACCTACTCATCGTCACTGTATGATAAGTGCTGGCTTCAGCGTTGCCAGACGTCCCGATTTTGGCGGGACGTCCCGATTTTTAAATCAAATTTAAATGTCCCGCGCGGGACAGGCTCGGTCCCGCTTTTCGGAGAGAGACACTTACTTCACCAAACTATTGTTTGAAACGCCATATTATTCTAAAGAATAAAACATTTTTAATTTTATTCTTTTTTTATTCTAAAGACGAATTTAACGATAGAGTAAATCTGATTTAAAATATTATTTTTTTGTTAAAATACATTTTCTATGGCTACTTTTGCTATTATATTGTCACGTAAACGTAATTTTAAGTCAAATAAAAAGATAAATATTTAAAAACCTTTGATTATATACGTTTTTTTATTACTATGTCCCGCTTCTGACGGAAGAGTCCCGCTATTTTCACTCAAAAAGTACCAAAGTCCCGACTTGGCGAAAAAAAAAACTGGCAACGCTGGCTGGCTTGGACTTAGCGGGCCGGCCTCGTTTTCTTTTTTGTCCAATAGGTATCAGTTTTGCTTCCAGTGGCGGTGTTGTTAGTTTGAGCCGAATTGCTAGACCCAAAACGTGTTTGCATACATATTTTGTTAAAAATTCGGGACAGTCACCCGCCCCCATTCGAATTCGCGCGCTGTAACAATCTGTAGTTTTCATTATTAATAAAGCGTATCAAAATAAAAAAAACATGAGACCTCAAATATAATATCAGTAACCAATAATCATTAATAAAGCAGCTCACAAAACTTTGCTTAGAATTAACTTTTTTGTAGTTCGTTCAGTAAAACCTCAATTAGAAAAATCTAATGTATCTTCATATTTTAAAGTTGCCCTCTCTGTATTTCTAGTCGCTCACTTAGAAATTTAGTCGCCCGGATAGTATTTTTATGTCTGAAATGTAATAATCAAAACCCACATTTTGTAAGCTCGTTCTGGATTTTATTATTGATCAATATTCGTCGTTAGTTTGGTAAATTTTTCGCTTACTCAAATTCATACCGCTCAAGGTATTAAAACAGTATGCCATCATCAGTCGCAAAGTTTTTTTTTAGTCGCTCGTTTTATAATTCCCCTTAATTTAATTTGGGGTAGCAGTAATGAGAACTAGCGTGAGAAAAAGATGAATAAATGCTACCTAACTGTACTGCGGGTTATTCTTATAACACTGTTAAAACACGGGTTACAAATACTAGTTAAGCTATATCCCGCGTATTTCCTGAAGTTTCATGGTGAGATTAGATTGGGGCATTTCAAGATCAAGGGGCTCTTCTCTTCCAAAAAATCTCTCTTCTAATAATGGAACTTTTTAGCGATTACATAGGTCAACTAAAGTAATGTTTCAGGATTTGCAGTAGTGTTTAGGTAACATACGATTGAAAATACCGTTCCGATCGCTTTCCCGTTCCTTTTCATCATTTTTATCTCAAGTGTTTTCACTCGACAGACGCTGAAAATTTCATACTATGAGTATATGACATGGATGCCTGCCTTCACATTATAAAAACGCCGCTGCCGCACTTCTGATGCCCTAACAGACCATCGATTTTTTCAGGCAGTTGATAAGTAAGTATGAGCATGTATGGAAGTGCGCACATAGCACCGATTTGATTTGGCCGATTCTTCATACAAATTAAAATCGGGCCCAACTATCGGCCAACTAAAAATCGGTGGTATGCGCCTAGACAGCTACCACACTTCCAAGGAGTTTAATCTTACCTTATAGTTAAGTCCTTGCACGTCCTCCTCCAGCGACACGTCGGAATACATGTCGTCCGCCGGCTCCCCGCCGGAGCCGCAGCCCGACGAGTTGAATGACGACGACCGGTACAATTGGCTGGAATAACGGCTTAATTAGTATAATTAGTTTTAGAGGTCTGGGTCGGGAGTAAGAGCTAATTTGGAGATCTTGAGCGCCATTTTGGAGATGGGTCGCTTTGTAGAATGTACTTATTTGAGCAAGTTATTGGGTTTACAAAGAGTTACCTACTGAGGAGAGGAGAGTACTACCACAGATAATATAATACTAGTGTACTACCTAGTACTCATGGTTGGAATGTTTGAGAACGTGTGGACTGTTGAGTAGTTGGAGCACCCACAATTTTTTTCGAAAGTAAGGCGTATAAAACCAAGTAGGTATCCTAATAATTTGAACCCAGGGCAAGGTATTTCAGTAGTAGGCCAGCCACTAAGCTATAATTTGCTACAAGACTTGTAGCGCCATCTATTGTATAGTCGTCCAACTAGCTGCCATTTGCATTGAGTGTGCCTTGTGACTAGCGAAATCCAAATACATTTCAACAGATGGCGCTATAAAAAGCATGCTTGCGATAGATGGCGCATGTGTCGTAAAATTACTAGCGGAGATTCTGAGGGCAGAATGTTCAGTAATTGTAGATGTTTTTATGTATTTAATTACTTAAGTATTTATAGTAAGATTAATATTTACCTAGCTAAGACATTGGAGCCGATTTGCCGCTTCCCAGAGCTGAAACAAATTAGTATTTTATTAGAAATTATCAATATTAAAATCGAAATTTTTTCATATATTGGTAACTAGCTTTCCGCCCGCGGCTTCGCCCGCGTGGAATTTTGTCTGTCACAGAAAAAAAATATCGCGCGCGTATTTGCTCACCGTTTAGACCAGTTTTTCCCAAAGTGGGCGATAACGCCCACTTGTGGGCGCTGCAGGCTTAAAGGGGGGTGGTAAGAGACCCAGAAAAAAATCGGGACGTTGTGTAGAAGCTTGGGAGGCGTCATTTACTAGGAGGACTCTTAGACACCGACTGAGCACTCGACACTCGACTACAAATGGGGGCGCTAAAAAGAATTTACTCTCAAAGTGGACAGTAGATAAAATAAGTTTGGGAACCACTGGTTTAGACCTACCCTGGACTACGACAAACATTTTAAAACCAAAATCAGCTCAATCGGCCCAGCCGTTCTCGAGTTTTAATCAGACTAACGAACATCAATTCATTTTTATTTATATAGATAGATAGATTAGGTAGTTTAGCAATTCTGAGGGCTATTTCGGTCATTGTGGGTCTCCTCACGTAGGGAAACTCCGAGCATAGCACGCTCCATCGCCCTTTGGGTGTTTTTAGCAAGGTGCTAGTTGATTACTATGAATCATATTGTTCCATTCTGTATACGAATATAACCGATGAACTGATGTAATGGTCATGCATGATTATACGTAATTATAATGAACGGTAAGTATGTGGGTTTGGATTCCCACACGAGTTTACTAGTTTGAATAAGCGGATTAGGATGAAAAAACTGAGTCGGCCGTGCTGCATGAGTTGTTGTAAATCTACCTTCATTTCAAATTTAGACGAATAAAAGAACTTTTCAGACAGGTTTTCTGTAAAATATTGGTTTTGCATTATAGTACCTAATAATAAGACACTTCTAACTTAAGAATAGTGATAAAAACTGTTTATATAGTGAAAATGTTGCTAGCTAATTATTCTAATATTAATTAAGACACAACATAATTAAGTTAGTTAGCTCTAAAAGTCTGAGACTAGCCTAGAGATGTGCCGCTGAGAAAGTTCTCGTTCCCGGCAATATTCCCAGTGAGAATATTCTCGAGAACCGAGAACGCTCCCGGGAATATTCTCAGTGTTCTCGACAGAATACATTTAGTTTTAATTTTTTTTTGTTTATATGTGATATTATTTGTAATGTTTCGATGTTTTATTAACTGGGCGTTAAGACTGGTCGTTATAAATAAGGCAGGAAACGTGTAAGTGAGATATTGCTGTCTTGCTCACTCTTTTCGTGGCGAACGCGTACCGCGGCTTTAGGACTCGGCTACGGTATTTGAACATCAGTGTGCCTCTGAGTTTTAAGGCCCTTGCCACTCTGGTGGATTGCAAGCGGATTCAAAGCGGATTCAAAGTGGATTTAAAGCGGAGTGGCGACGCGACGGAGAAACCGCGTGAAAATGTCGTGAAGCTTCCCAAAGGCTGCCCAGCCGAGTTGGATTCGATGATTGACCTTTTTTTCGAAGTTGGACCTACCTAACTGGACTGTTTGTCTCAGGTATACATTATTGTCAACAACCTCGAGTGAAGAGTCTCTAACTTTTAGAGGAGTGGGTGCAACACGGTCTTTAGACATGATTTTTAAATCTTGTCCATGTTCATTTTGAGACCCACTTGTTGAGAGATTCTATTGAGGCCATCGAGCATTGTGCCTAGATCTTCCACGATCTCAGCCATGACTACGATATCGTCTGCTGTCTGGGTGATGTACTCGCCGTTGATATTTATGCTGAATCCGCTCCAGCCCAGAAGCTTGAAAACATTTTCCAGGGCGGCGGTGATGACGTCTCCCTGTCTCACCCTTCGCTGCAACTGGATAGGTTTCGGGTCCTGATCTTAAAACGGACTGTCACTGTGGCGTGTTTGTACAAGCCTTTCAATACTTTAATGTATCAATAGTCAATTTGGCATAGTTGAAGAGACTGAAGCACTGCCCATGTTTCAAACGAAGCGAAGGCTTTCTCATAGTTCACAAACGCAAAGTGGCTGATTATACTCCTTGATCTTCCGTATAATCTGCCGTTGCGTATATTATTATGGAAACCGGGTTGTTCGGGGGGCTGAAAGTCGTCTAGCCTGCTAGCGTGACAATTCGTAATGACTATCAAAAACAGCTTGTAGACATGGCTCAGAAGCGAAATGGGTCTATAATTCTTTAACAAGGTTTCGTCACCTTTTTTGAAGAGGAGTATTACCATTCTTCTAAGTGTCGGATCAATCTGGCTAGGACGTATTTTCTATAAAAATGTGTCAAATGATCCGTCAGACAGGCTATCCACAACTTATGCAGAAGTGGCGAAACAGGCCCTTACTAAGCGATTGTGAAATATGCCCTTAATGTCAAATAAGAATAGTTTTACTTACTAACAGCACTAAAAAGCCAATAATCATCAGGACCTTGGACATCATCTAGCATTAAAGTGCTCGAAAAGACAAATCTAACGAACCCAAACTCGATGTGATTTCGCCGTTTCGTTTAGGAGTTCTTTTGGCCACCTTCCAGTCCCATCATCAGACCAGCTGGTACCACAATATTGTATTGTCATTTCTAATCCACATAAAATTTCCAAGTTTCATGATGATACAAGACTTAGTAGAAGTGCATGTAATTCAGATTCTAAGATTCCATTACATAGTTAGTTACATACACGACGACCTAATAAGAGCGTGTTAAAAACGAAAAAATGGACAGTTACATTATTTAATTACGTGTAAAAAGAAATTTCTGTCATCTTACATATCATTAAAACTACATTTTCACGACGAAAAAAATAAAATATAATAAAGGTGCAGTTGCCAAGAATATTGCCGAGAAAGTTCCCGAGAATATTCTCGGGAACACTGAGAATATAGCCTTTCACTGCAAATAGAGTGTATTCTTAATATACACTTATCTGTTGACTTAATTTAATACTATTTTACTTAAGAAAGTTTGTTTATTTCCATTTGATAAACATGATTCTCAACCTTTCTCACTTAGGAGAACGCTCCCGGGAACGCTCCCGAGAATATTCTCAGCTGAGAGAGCGTTCTCGGGAACGGCACATCAATCCCGATACAAAACAATAGAAGCGGTGAAAAGTTTCACAAAAAACTAAGGTAGTTGTCTTGATAAATTCAATTAAGGTTTTATGAAACTTTTACAGTTATTAATTAAAATTGTAAATAATAGTAATCATATTTTTCTTTGACGAAAGAACAACACGGTGCGCTTCATATCTAATAAAGTAATTACATAATTATTTGAATTTAATTAAGTTTCACTAAGAAACAATTTGATAAGTAGGTAGGTACCTAGACAAAAAAAATCGTTTCTTTAAGGCTCATATTATTATAAAACAAAGCACACAGTTTTAACGCGCGGATAACCTAACCTAACCTAACATAACTCTTCAAAATGTGTGTAAATTTTAGTTTTCATATTTCAAGAATTTATTCTGGAATAAAAACTCTAATGTTAATTTAATTTCATAAAAGCTCTTTTTAGCCGTGGAACAATATCTACCCTTTCTAATAAACAGTAATAAAAAGCTTTTTCAGCGTGTTTCAGGCACTGTCTGTAGGTAAGTATTTACATAATGCAAATAAAAATATGCATTATTGGCAAGAATTGGATGACTTTAAATGTTTTCCAATAATCTTCTCTCTGTTATTACCTAACTCTAACTACACGGTCACGAAAAGTGCATGGTGAGCGTTGCACCGACTCGATTACTAGACGCACATCCGGTGCATTTAGGTTTGCGCTCTTAGCGAAAGAAGGAAATATTTTATAACTGCAATTATCCTGTTTTATTGTTAGATATAATACCATAGGTGAGTGCTGCTAGTTGCAATTTGCTGTGAGTCTAATTATAGTAATTTCAGTTATTGTTTGGAGCCTTAACTTTGCGTGTTTGAGATATGAATAAAGATGTTGCGATTCGCGCCATGAAAAAATGGCTAAATGGCTGTGATATTTAAACATTTTTCTCAGAGCTCTTTAATCACTACCTAATTAACTTTTAAAAATTTGCCCTGATAAGTCTAAAGACAAGTGATCTTACTGCATCTTCTAATTACTTAATGTCTGGATATTAAGTTTCACATAAGTCTTGATTGTCCAACCGGTCATTATGGAAATCATTGGAGGAGGCCTATGTTCAGCAGTGGACGTCCTATGGCTGAAGAAATGATGATGATGAAGTCTTGATTGTAAATGATGGTTTGGTATATTTTGGTTTATATTACAGGTAAAAAAATAGATACCAGGACTACGTTTGTGACGACACTAGGAAAGGCGATGAAGACTGTAATGAATGTCTTTCAAGCCTTTTTAGCTTAAAACTTGTATAATAGTAAATGTATAAATACTGTTGAACTAACACTTCCAAGAGCGACCTTCGCCAAACTTACAAAATCTAGGCCATTCACTGGTAACAAAAAATAATACCCAAATAGCAGTTAAGGCGGCCATTTTGTAATAGTTAATCTTCAGTATTGTACTTAAGTAAATTGCGACAAACATTTCAAAGATTTGTGAAGCGATAAACGCGGCTTGGTTTCCCACAAAATTGTTGATGTTTATTTTCTTGAGCGCTGTCTTAAAACAAAAAAGTGCGTCTTATGTTAACTGCCTATCCGCCTGCCTTATTTATTACGCCTCTATGAGTCACTGGTTAAAAAGAATACAGAGGTTTCCGAATCGATCCCCAATAATGTTAAACTCGAGTTAGGCTTAATATTATTATGCTTGTGTTACGAGTGGATTTTCTATAATAGTCCAGCGGCGACAGGGTTAAAACTGCAGACCCTTGCTGTTTGACACCCACTCCATTGAGCTATTGTTGGCTCAAAACTTTGTAGATAAGCGTAAATCGTATTTAAATATTGGTAAGGATGGAAACACCCTGTTATTTTGCTATTTAAAGCACACTTTTCAATATTTTCTCTCTCT